TGGGGATTATTATGTGTTTATTCTAATGATAGAATTCTGCAGTTTTTTTCATTCATTGTGATTTTGGTCCACTCCCTCTATATAAACAGGGGACATTTCCTCTTCCTATCTCATGGACTGCTAGTTAGCTGCCGCTACATGCTCTGTCTTGTTCTATACCCTACCCTGCTCCGGAATTAGGATATGCACCTGTTAACTATTGAAGGACAATAAATCCTGGTGGGCCTACATTTCTCCTCTGCTGTCCCTCCTTTCTCAGTGGCAGACACAGCCAGGGCACATAAGGGAGAATCTCCACAATATTTTGAACAGTAATTCTCTATATGTATTCACCCAATGGCTAAGAAAGGCCCTCTTCCACCTTAGTAAAGCTTGTAATTCTTGATTAATGAACATTCAGTTTTTGAATTTTGTCTGTAACAATGCCTTTTCATACCTATTTTTCAGTTCTGAAGACATATCTGCTATAAAATTGGTCTATGGTTCTATGGTTATTATAATTAATAATTACTTACATGTTTATAGCGCTTTTCTGGACACCACTCAAAGTGCTTAACAAGTAAAGATGGAAGATGTCATGCTTGTAACATGACCACTCACTACAGCCTCCCACAAAACAGTTCCTCAGTGCGTCATCATTCTTAGAATTTTTACACGTTTTATTAATCTTGTTAATTACTGTACTTGGATGAATAAAGTAATTAACTGTCATAAACAAGCATCTTTGACAAACAAGTGCTCTTTGATGATTCAGTGCTCTCATAGGTTACAAATACAGTACGTAATATTGGGTGATGTTCTAAGCCACTTTAAAAAATCACGTTTTACAAGTAATGGGAATTCCATTTTCAGTTTGCAAATTTTTACTGTATCAACAGTTTTCAAGGAATGAATTACATTTGTAAATCAAAGGATGGGCTTAGTTTTTTTCATTATCTTCTAAAAAGAAAGCTACTGGTTTTGATAAATGCCCACCCATTATTAAGCATGATAAATGTTTGAAATATTTAAGAGTTATCATTTATGGGTTTCTTGAATAACATCTGCCAAAGAAAGTTTCAGTCTGTTTCTGTGGGTCCCAGTTATATTTATACCCACATTCTAATTCTGAATGAAGAAAGACAAAATGTATAATTTACTGTAATTTTTTATTTCCCAGGGCTGTTATGCAATTTTAGTGTGTGTTTTTAGTGCATGCTTGAAAACAATTAATTCCATGAGATAGATACTTTGCTGCACTGCACAATTAATTTCCTTAAGAAACTGTTATTTAAATCAAAATACCAATTTCACAACACATTGTCCAATATGTGAATCCAGTCTTGTTTTTCCAGATACTTTGGAAACTGCATACCCTGACACTCTTCCGATTTCCCTCTAAAAAGTTGGTTTTGCAAGGCTTTCAGGACTATATCTCTTATTTAACATATTAGCCCTCAAATGGCACTCTGACCTTGATATTTGTTTACTTTTGAAGATAAACTTAAGTTTCTGATGCATTCTTTTCTATCTACAGATTAGAAGAATCAATGCAATTTGAGAGATAGAGTTTACTCCTGCTTGCTTGTGATGAAAGTGGTCCAGTTCTCATCTATAGAACTCAACATGTATTTTATATTAATTTGATTGTAATAGAAGTATTAATATTTTAATAGTCACAGCCATATTAGATGAGTATCATTACAATCTTGACACAATAGCCCATACTTTCATTTTTACTTGAGTTCTTGATCTTAAAATACTAGACTAGCTCACATTATAGAATTTCATAGAATCTTATTTTAATGAGTTTTCTTGAGTGCTACAAGCAAAATACTGTTTTCCATTTTCAGATTTTAGATTTATTACAGAGTATATTTATTGTATGAATTGCATTAAACTGCAAAATAACATATTAAATAATATACAGACTTTAACATAAAATATTAAATCTTTAATATAAACAGAAAAAAAACTTTAATAGTATTCTTTGCATTCATAATGCACTGCAGGTTAAAGAGAGTGTTACCACACAGCAAACTATTTTTATGAGGCAGAAAGCAAGTCCAAGCTTCTTATGTAATCATAAGACTAAGCTCACTATATATCAGCCCGGACACTTCATCAAAGTAAATAAGCAGCTGCTGCAAGAAACTTTAAGCTAATCTTCATGTGGTTTGTAAAAATGCATTCACAAGACAGTGATACTGCTTTGTACTTGCCTTTGAGAAGTATCTGAAAATCACATAATTCATAGATTGGATCATGGGATGTGTGAACAGTGGTAGAAAAAGCATTCACCTTCAAGTGGTGCTGGATAATATTTAAGAACTCCAATTGCATTTCTGTTGGGATGTTTACGCAATGGACTCTACGACATCAGTCATTTCTCATAAACCTTTAACACCTGAAAGGAAGCCCACCCTCAAAACTGCTGGCCACCCAGTGTTTTGTCTAATATCTGCTAATAAAATTAGTATGTATGGGTTTATCAAGTGTCTCACTAAATAAATGTTCTGCACCCCGGATAATAGAACTTTTAGGTTGCAACAAAGATGTTTTAAAAATTACAAGAACATGAAATGCAGGCTAATTTAGACCTTGCATAAACATTTGCACATTTTCTTGCACAAATCTAATATGAAATCCTGTTTAAATACACATTTCACTCTCAATGGGATGTTAAACACACAATACGGTTACACCTGGGCCAACAAATACACAAGTGAACCTTATGCCACTGCACTTAAATCTGAAGTGATTGTGTAGTGTTTACTCGTACAGTAGCAACAGTTAAAAGTCAGGTACACACAGTAATAATATAACGCCACCTGGTGGTGAATGTTTTTCTCCATCTTTCACATGCACATGACCTCAAATGCTGTATGTCTGCATGTGTTTGTGAAAGTTTAGGATCGGAGATATAATTATTTATGCATATGTGTAGATTGTGATTTTGACTTTGATGTATGAACATGTTCTTTCACAAGGATAAAAAAGATTCTTCTCAGCAGCAATTGTTTTTAGGCTTTATAACCTGAGCATAAAGTCAGTCAGCTACGTGTAAGTTAAACTATATACTGTATACATATTTCAGGGCAAAAAGCATTTGAATGCAATTAAACTTCTTTTTCATTAAGTATATAAACACAGCTGTAAACACTGTATTGTGATAAAGAAAAAAGTAGAATCCTCATTTGGAAAAAAGGCAAACATATTTAAAGAAAAAAGGAATTGTGCTCTTAAAAACACACATCTAAAATCACATACCAAAGGCAACACTCAAAAGAAAATACAAATCTACAGCAGAATTATTATTTCTATACGAGCTGTAAAGTCTATTATATTTGGTTCCGCCATCTAGTGCTACTTAATTCTTACACATTATTCAAACGAAGTTTTTCTCACCAACAAAAGTACAGCCTTATTTAGAACAAATACTGGAAACACTATACACAAGTATGAAATTTAACAAACATTATTACCACATAAATTGTTGTAAATATTGTAATATGGCTGTATTTTTATATCTGTTGAAAAAAGTAAATTAAATAAAAATAATGCTTTACAGTATATAGTTTAATACACAATGATGAAGGTTTCATTGAGATCTAAATAAACAACAAAGTGTTGTTGAATGCAGGACAGAGTGGCTCACGGAAGTATTAGATCACTTCTTTATTCCATTTTCTTAAACAACCGCTTTTAGTCTACTGGACTTTATTTCTCTGTATGAACTGAATGTTGGATCTGTGAAACTCTTTTCTTAGTGATGGATTCTTGTTGCTTGAGATGATGCATATGTCTTATATCAAACTCCACTTCGTGTGTTTCTGCATTAGATTCAGATGATATGAATGAACTGCTATTGAAGCCTTCTAAAGAAAACCTCAAACTATAATTTTGTTCACAGCATCAGATCGACTTATCCTGTGGCATCCCATTATATTCCAGAGCCTTTGGTGATGCATTGATTAAAGAAATCTTGTAAATATATAACTATAAAACCACATACTTTTTATCATCACCATATTTAAGGATACTGTATGCTTCATGCAACAAATCCCTCTTGTTGGCCTTGTAGCTTGAGAATTAATTGGATGAACTGTAAAGGACATGACTGGAAGCCAGTTCTGAGTAGTTATTCCAAGGACACCTTTGAGCTCCTGATCATCACCACTTAAAGTGGTGTGAAGCCCATTATGCCAAAGAGTAACCCTTGGAATAATGTGCGGAATTTGATTAGTCTTGACAAGCAAGGAGAAAGATAATGCCATAACTGTCTTATTATATACCACTCGTTAGTCAAAACATTATACAAATTTAAACTCTCCTTCTCTAAACTCTATAGCCTTCTCAGCTGATCTACGTCATGTTTCACTGAAGCATGTTTGTGCCTACACTTCAGATTCAGTCTCAGGCACAAACCAATTCTGAGCTTTTATTTTACACAGCCAGAACAATCAAGATGAAGCAGATCTGAACACTGATGATATTTCAGGGCAGTGACACCACTGTAACCAGCAAATTCAACAGTCCATGATGTTATATAGATTATAACACAAAGCAGACCTTTTACACATGCTAAATGCTTTATAAAGAATTATTACTGAGAATTAATAATTGGTAGTGGTGGAGAGGAGTCCCCATTACCTGTAAAGGGCTTTGAGTGGATTGTCCAGAAAAGTGCTATATAAGTGTAAGCAATATATATATATATATTATATTACTAAATTACTATTCTGTTGTATTCAATTAAAATGTTTTTTCAATAACAGATTTGCCCAAAGTCAGAAGCCTAATTCTGAGAAGTAACCTCACAGAGCCTTGTATGTTGAATGTCACAAATGTATTGTTTCAGGATTAAATGTGATACAATTTTATAGTGTTTAGTTTTAGTTTGGTTATCTTGTTTTGTAGAATTTGTAAAGAACATGAGAGGAATTAGGGTACCACAAACAGAATTTTAAGAAGCCAAAAATGGAAGTAGTACCCTTGACTAATTGCCAAACCACAAAAAATGTTTTTCCCATCCTATTTAATTGTTGTCAAAATGAATTCAGAAAATTAAAAAAGTGACCAGACTTCTGTGAGACACTGTTACAAATAGGAAACTGTTGCTATCAATTTGGATGCTGCAGGTAGGAGACATCTTCATTTCATTTTGTAGGATCTGAAACATAAACATACAAGTTTTAGGTGAATTGCAATTAAAATTATATGGCTTATTTCATTTAAATAAAAATGCTGTTATTATTAACTATCTAAAAACAGTACAAATATATTACAATTTTCAATACAATAAAATTAAAGACAAATAAAAGATAAATATTTTTGTATTCCCCTTTTTATCAATGCATAGTTGGATCAAATCCAAAAAGTTGTAATTCTGCTTTCCTTTTCTTTCTATTTTTGTAAAACTGAAACCACAAAGAAAAACTAAATAATTAATAATAAATATAATAAAGTCCATATAAAATATAGTATATATTATTGATACAGCCAATATTGTCTTCAACATATATTCTAAAGCTGACTTTTGTAGAGAATAATATACACTTACACACAAATTTGAATATACTGTAGTCATATATACTGTATACTGCATTTTAAATGAAGTAAAGATTTTAGGGTCCAGCTGAAAAAAAAAATGTAATTATCAGACAAACCAGCAGAGGTCCCTGTTGTCTGGTACCCAGAGTTAGCATGTCCAAATACAGACATCCCATAGCTAGAACGCTGCAATAGATACTTTAGTATCTATTGATATCTTTAAATTGTCTGCTGAAGACTGGCAAAGGTGATCATTTTTACCAATCCAGTAAGTGATTCAAATAATTATGTTTGTTTAGAGCAAGGAACAGAAGACTAAAGGAATGACTGGGAACAATTAGCAGACATGCAGGATTTAAAGTTCTGTAAAGGATTTTAGAATAATTCGCTGAGCAATAATTCTTCTTTTTCTTATTTTTTAATAGTACATAGGATTAACTGTAAATTAATAATTAATAATTTCTCTGTACTGATTAGTATTAATATTCTAATAAAAAGCTAAGAAAGGGAGACATTACTCTGTAGTGTATATATTTAAATCGTTGTGGCTGTGAGTTTTATCTTGTTTCTGGGGCTATATACACCATGTGGAATTTCAGAAATACCTTAAATATTTGCAAAATACAATTATTTTGTATGTTTTTAACTTGGGTCTTTGGCATATTTTGTTTAGTATATATGATGCTGAAGACAATACTGTTTGTTCACCAGTAAAAGTACAGTATGTTAAGCAGATTTCATACACTAGCCCAGTTAGAAAAAAGAACCATTGGATGGAAATGCAATTTTCTAGCACCGCAGAGCACTTCCTAACTCTGAGATGCAAGCATTTTAATGAAAGCTTTGTGTACAGTATTCAATGTATTTGGGAGATATTCTGTAGTCTTTGACATTTCTGTGTACTGGAGTAAGCACACAATGGCTGTCTTTAAAATAGCTTGAGTGGTTGTGAGGAAGTCTATCTTTCATCTCTCACTAGTGTGTCTGGGGTGGAGCACAAATTGCAGGAAACACCTTCCCATATTCAAACACTTGCGTGGAGTCATTACATGAAAAGCACAATGAGATATAAAAAGCTTGAAACTTCCTCTGTTCTGTTTGCTTGAGAAAAATGAGAAGAAATCACCAAGTCGGTAAAAGCCTTAGAAAACACTACAAAATTAAATATTTGAAAGGTTTGCGTGTGTATTTTGTAGAATTATCATGGTAATTGTATTAATTTGTATTAATAAGTAACTAATCACAAGTTAAAATGTAGTTGAAAAAATCACAATTAGTAATATGTATTGCATTATATAAGTTACAATAAAATAAATAAAATGTGTCCCAAGAGTTAATTATACACCCATGTTGGAACAAAAATATCATGACATCAAAACAGAATTATTTACAGATTGAATAATAATCCTTTCTTAAATAAATAAAAAATGTTATACTGTAAAATAAATAAAATTATAAAAATGGAATTTAGAGGTTTCATTATTATAAATTCACGGAGAGGGTGTCATTGGTTGGCACTGCTGCCTGGAGCACTGGGGCTCTGGGTTCAATTCCTGTTAACAGTGCTAACTGCCTTTAGTTTATACTGTATGTTCTCCCCATGTTTCCTCTGGGTGCTCTAATTTACTCCCACAGCCCAAAGAGATACTGGTATGTTCATTACCATATAGGAAAATTTGCCCTGGTGTACATGCATGTCTGTGGCTGTGTTTGTGTCTGTGTGTCTGCCATACAATGGACTGGCATCCCGTCCAGGGTGTATCCTGCCTTGCAACCATTGCTTGCCATAAAATATTCTGTAGAAAATATCATTTTTGTCTGTTTGTATTATTATTGACATAACAGTGGTACATACAGTACATACCTTCACCCCCAGATGACTTTACACCCAAAAGCATCACACCATCTTTGTAAGTGGCGGTCCTGATTTTGACAAGAAACACAATACTATAAATACTATAGAAATGTTGTTTTTATTTTGAGTACAGCAATAATCACGATCTCCAGGGGTAATTTTTTATTCGTTTTAATTAAAATGATAAGTTTGCTTTTTTCTCCTAATCATCCTTCCATGAAAAGTATTTTGAATATTAGAAAAACAAACACACAAACGTTACATATGACTGGAATTAATTTGGTTGATCAAACTCTTTTGGTTGGTAGTAGCAGGTAATTGCTTCACAACTGCAGACCTCATCCCCAGCTTCACCAATTATACTATTACTGATGGTAAAAGGGTGTATCAATAGTATAGTTCAGAATCTGACTCTGCCAAAATAATGTATTTTTCATACTCACTTCTCTGTATCATTCTCGGTTCCATCTGTTGAAAATATAAAAAATAACAAGAGCAATAAGTATGTATACTTTATATATCTTTAGGACTTTTTATTAAATTAAGAACGTCCAAATGATGTATATATGTGTCTCTATAAATTTCAAACCCTTTCATTATTGTGTCAATTATCCTTTCCTCTCAGATGGTGCAATTGTAATTTGGAGCAATAATTCAGAAAAAAAATTCGAATTCAAAATTATTTCTGAATCCCATCCATGCTGTCAGGGAGTAAAACAAAAATGCGCTATGGTATTTCGCAATTGCGACTTATTATCTAAGAATTCCGAGTTTATATCTCAGAATTGCGACTTAAAAACTCAGAATTCCGACTTTATATCTCGCAATTGCGAATTTTTATCTCACATTTGCGACTTTGAAATGCCCAGATTTCATGGTCTGTCCTTTTTTTATTGTAACGGATTCGGGTTCTAGGGCTTGTGCCCTTGCCTCTCCCACCCTAGTTAGTGCTTCACTGCATTGGCTCAAACCCAGGTCTTGCCAGCTGAGTAAAGACTTTCTTTAGCCCCGGCGGCCAGCATCCCTGTTATACGCAGGGGAGGGTGGTGCCCTCAACCTGTATGGCGGCCGTTCCGTTACAATATATTCATGAATCGTACAGGATCATAGGATCTTTAGGCCTGAAGACTTGTCTTGTACAGTTCCATGATAAAAATCTAATTTCAATATTTTTTATGGAATCCCATTTCCGCCAGTGAGGCTTCCATAGTACCCGGTTGGAATAGTGGACGGTAGGCTTTTAAAAAAAAGGTTTTATTTAAACACCAGAAATACAAAAATGGAGACAGAATATGAAGAAAGATACAGAAATAGAAACTTCACATCCAGAGGAATTCACAGTTATAAAAGCTGGAACTTATACTTTTTACATATTTCCTTTGTATGTCCTGTTTTACTTACAAAAGAAGGTCTTCTTTAGCTCAGCAGGCAAGACCTGGGTTCGAGCCAATGCAGTGAGGCACAAGCCCTAGAACCCGAATCCATTACAATAACAAAAGGACAGACAATGAAATGTGGGCTATTTCGAAGTCGCAATTGCGAGATATGAAGTCGCAATTCTGAGTTTTTAATTCGTAATTCTGAGATCCTAAATCGGAATTCTGAGATACTAAGTCGCAATTGCGAGATACCATAGCGGGTTTTTTTTTAATCCCTGGCGGAAACGGGCTTCCATACTTTCATTTCAGCAACCTAAAAATGTAACACTTTCTGAGAATTTAAAAAAAAACTAAAATACTACATACTACAAAATACATTAAGATACACTGATTCCAATAACTCTATAATAAATATTTCCTTCCACTTTGAGCTCAATAAATACCTGTGTTTGTGTGGACCTTCATAAATTTGGATTTCATTGCTAGGATGACAATCGCTATCAATATAACCAGTACAGGTAATATGACCCACAGTATTCTCTGATCTGTAAAAAAAAGAAAAGGAAAAAATCTTAATTAATTACAGAAATATAAGTATAAATTGAGTAATTTAATTCTTTGTTGGCAGATTTAATGAGAATTATTGAGGCACTTCAGTTTTTCTCTTACTAAACAAGCTGTAAATTCTTGGACTGAAGTGAAAATTGTTTGGCCTCTTTTTGGTTCTTCAGAACCATTTTTAATACACCTGTTGCTGCATCTTTTCAAAGATACATTGATATGTATGCTCTAACAATTAAGAGTTGAAAATTGTTCCATGTTACTTGTTGTTTTTGAATGTGGATTTCATCATAATTAAGGCAACTAAAAATTCTTAAGTGCCACTTTCTTAATTATCTGAGAGATAAGGAAAAAACATAAATATACTTTAAGAATATTTTGAAAATAAAGTTCAAGGAACACAAAGTTCGTAATGTGTAGATGTGTAGCATTGCATATAAAATGCATGAACTGTTTAGTCGAGTACTGGATTTTAAAGAAAGTCTGTTACAACATCATTTGTCCTTTATATACTATATATGATTACCTTTTCATTTATCTTCAGATAACCCAGGCTACAGTGTTTTTGCTGAGAAAGGATTTATTCCTGTGATTCCCTGCTGGGAACAAATCTTTTCAGAATAACTGAGACTATAGGCTTCCAGTCCCAGCTTCCTGACTGGTGTGTTTCCGGTAATTATACTTTTGGGACTAAAGTCCGAGCTATGTGGACCTCGCCCTTTTCAATTTGTCAAATGATATAGACAAAATCCTGTTTCACTATACAAAAAATAGTTAATAAAATTAAAAATGGGAAGGTAATGATTTCTCTTCACTTGCTGATCGAGCATAGTCATATATAATGATTAAAACCAAACAGTACCAAACAGTTAGGCAGAATGTTTAAAGAGAAAAAGTGAACCCAAAACAAAACCTAAACAAGTGAACCTAAACAAAAAAAGCGTACAAAAAAAGCGTACAGACATTTAAGAATATCTATAGACATATCACAGTGTGGATGTGTGGAAATGTATTTGTTTTTCAATAGACACAGTGGAATAGAAGGAGGATTTTGCCCTTATGTCAGTTCTCTTAATTTTGTAATTTTTGTGTCTTTATCACACAACCTACAATAGTAATCATCCTTTTGCTGTCTTTGGAAAAAAAAAACAATCTTAAAATGCAGATATTCATAGATCATTGTGTCTTAGGAGTAATTAGAAGTATTTTGAGTGGGGGTAATGAGAGCTGTAAAGGAACAAGTAGAGGTTAATTCCATGCCGAAAAGTAAAATGAAGAAAAAACACAATATTCAGCTGTATTATTTCAGGAGCTCATGGAAGGACAAACCTTAAGAAGGCTCCTCAACAGAATCATTCTTCCATCATTTTAATCTTCAGCAATCAATTGTTTTCTACTTGTTCTTCTGTAGTAATTATAATTTGGTAGTAATTATAATGTTCAAATTAACCCTACTAATGCATCCCTGGATTTTACAATGCATTATTACTCTATACTCCCATGTTCAGATAGTGTTGAATAATTGTGGCTTTACACAGGGAGCACAGTTATTAACAGGTTTCTGATTCACATTCTAGCTCTTTGCTTTCTGGCTGGCATAGTGTGAGTAACTTACATACACTCCATTTTCTCGTTTCCTCATATCATGTTGCACTTTGTTCTTAGTTATTTATAAGGGTCATACTGAAAAATACTTAATTTTGTTTCTTTAAGTGCATGTTACATTGGAAATAGATGATGATCTAGATGAATCTCTAGCTACAGATGCAACCTAAATTCTGTCATTGTAATTCTTTGTGTAAGTCTCATGACTTAAGAATACACAGTTGTCTATTTATATATATATTTTTTAAAACTAAGCTTCTTCATAATGTGAAAAATGAAAAAGCTTTAAGATTCAAGTAGCAATATTTCAAGTTTTAGATACTCCTAATTTAGGATATTCAGTTGGTTTTCTGAATACCAGGAAGTTAAACATTGTGATGAGGAATTCATTGTGATACTTTGGTCTTGCAAGAAAAAAAACAAGAGACAAATTGAACAAACGTACTGTTTAATGGGTATGAAATGTAGCCCTGTGTTGGCAAAACACAGGAGAAATCTAGGAAATATATATACTGTACTGTATATGAAAAGTGGAGAATTTACTGTTATTAAGGTAGTGGTTTCTTTCAAAATTGTCTAAATATAAAACACTGAGTGGGTTTTAACAAATTTAAATTAACAATAATGCCAAACTTACCTTTTGGTTTATTCCTTTTCTCACTGGTTTCTTCGGTTACTCCAGACGTGGGATATTCTGGGAGAAATACATCTATAATTTATTCTTGTGTCTCTTATTGTGTTAAAAACAACATGAAAAGAGTGGGGTCTTGATGGAAAAGTAGTTAAAACTGAGAAGTAATTGCTTAGAAATTATCTAGGCATCATTGGTATTCCATTTGTTGATTCAGCTGTTATTTGACTTCAAATAGCCAATCAAAAAATCTTGGCAGTTTTAATCTGACGCTATCCCACTAAATCAAAATATTCCACGTGATTTGTACATTGTGACCTTTAGTTTTCAGCATTTATTTTTTTGAACATCTTTTAGAGAGCGTTTCTTTAATATCCCCAGGGGGTAAGTTGCTGTTTTAATATTACACAGCTCTGAAACATTTTCTAGAAGATGTAAATGATATACTGTATCAACATAAACACTTAGTTTTTTCGTAAGTAGCCTCTTCTAGCTCAGCAGACCTATTTGATTTCAGAGTTACATGTTTTTACTACCTGCATATAAAACCCCTGCATTAAACTTCATCTGCTATGTGTTTGCCCAGACTTGAATGTTTTCTAGATATTTTTGAATTTTCCATTTTATTTGCTGCTTTGACTAGTACATACTAATTCTGATATTGTATCATCTGCAAACTTGATTTAGTTATCAACTATGCCATAATCTAGATCATTTACGGTATATAAATTTAAGCCAGGGGTCAAGTACTGTATACATCTCTCTGGTGCCCCTCTGGTGCTGTATACATCCTTTAGCTGTATCCTCTCTTTCCTCAATCTAAACACTTGCATTTCCCTCAATTTTTACCACCCACAATCTGAGAATCTGTAATGAAGAACTTTATTTAAAGCCTTCTGAATTTCTAAATAGATTGCATGACCAGTGTTTATCCATTACTGTTGTTGCTTGTTTAAAGAACGCTGACAATTTGGTTCAACTAGTCCTGCCTTTTCTAAATCCATGTCGACTATTTCCTAGGATATTATTTCCCTACAGGTGATCCTCTAGTTCCATTCTAATAAATCTGTAATTTCCATACTGTTAGAAATAATCAAGGTCAGTAATATTGGTGCATAATTACTTCACTATGCACCAATATGACAATATTAAGGATGGTTCCTACATTAACAATTCTCCAGTTCCTAAGTACTACTGTACTTGGTATGTCAATAATGTCATACCGTTAAAAATATATTTCAGAGGAGCTCAGGAAAAGAGTAGTTGTTAGTCTGGATTATTTTATCAGTCTGTAGAGGGTTACAGAACAATATTGGACATTCATCCACTTCCAGACAGATACAAATTAAAAATGTTCAAGAACACTATGAATCTACCCATTCATCCAAATTCTCCCTATGAGATACCTGGTAAATCACTCAGGAATTCACAAAAGACCCCAGAGTAACATCCAAGGATCTGCAGACATGAATAGTGATGGTATTCATGTCTCAACCATCAGGAAAAGACTGAACTGGGGGACAGTCAGGAAGGAACCATTGTTCTCTAAAAAGGACAATGTCACCTGTCTCAATTTTGTCTCTGATCACCTGAATGAATAGTGTTCTTGGGACAGACGAGTCAAAAGTTTAACTTTTTGACAAAAGGGAAATGTTTTGTGTGGCAAAAACCAAAATCAGACGTCTAAGAGAAAAATCTTATCCAAACTGTCAAACATAGCTGTGGGACTATTTTGATTAGGAGCTACTTTGTTGTTTCAGGACCCAGATGATGTGTCTTCATTAATAGAACCTTGAATTCGGAGTAGTTAGAGCATTGAAAGGGTTTCCACTGCTTGCCTAATCCCTCTAGTTCAGTGATCCACACTCTCGGTCCACCTGTGTAGAAACATACAGGGCCTTCTGGTTTTCTACCCAGCATCCTAATCAGATTGTTTAATCAATTATTGACTTAATTATTATTATAACAGTTTCCAGGTTTTTAGTCAATGAAAAGTTTGAGCATTGTACAAAACAGACTCTCCAGAGCCAAAGAAATGGGCCCTTACTTTTAAGAAATGTTTTACAGCTATTTTTAGAAAAAAGTAGAAGTAATAAGCTTGCTGATCAGATTTATTTTATATATTTGGTATGACCACTGTTGTTAACGCTTAGCCTTTTTCTCTCAAAAACATCTTTGCATTCATTGACTGACACCAAACACTGAAACCTGCAAAATGACAATAACTTGTCATTTTTGTTCACTTTTGGGTCTACCTCTGAGATGTAAAGGGAAACTGCAATGCTATTTTTATATTTCAGCATTGATGAGTACGATTAAAATCACAATAAAAGTAAAATGTACACAGTAACTTGTAAAATCTCCAATTTACATAAAAACTAGACAAAATTTCCAGGTATGCACAGTGCCATACTGCGATTCAGAATGAGGCAACAAGACTTTCAGTATGTGTGTTGCCTCCCCATGATATTGCAAACAAGCAGGCTTACAAATACTACTTGTGAACTTTTTGTGCAGTTCATAGGGGAAGATTTCTTTGGTGAAAGGTCTGCTTGAGAACTTGAACTTATTCTCTCGTATATCACATTAGAGTAGTCATTGCAGTGACCAATGAGTAGGAAGGGGGCATACCGCATTGCAGTTCATGGAAATGCTCACTTTCCCCCATGGTGAGATGGTGAGTTAATGATTTTGCTGCCTATTTGGAAAGTTTTAAACAAATTCTATAATGTTAATTAATTTATTTTGTTACGGAGAATTTAAAGCTGGTCTGAGAAATTGGGACTGCAGTTCCCCTTTAATTACACTTTGATACAATACATTGTCCTACTGCTATGCAACTATCTTTATTGTTTTTTGTTTCATGGTATGTAACCATGTTCTATGAAACAAAATTCTTAGATTTTTCTAACAAAAGGCTAGAAATGATCCTTAGATCAGTTAGAGATTACCAACCAAATTATTTAGGTGGCTGAATCCTTTTTTGGTTCTGGTGGTATTTGAGTGATTGTGTGCCTTTGAGGATCCAATATACAGTTGTAGATACACTTTCTTCTTGTTCACACTGAGCCCCACAGTGACTACAGTGTTAGCACTTCAGCAGTGATGGGACTTTCACCAACGGCAATGCCATCATGCACATAAGTGCACAGCAAATCGCAGAGAAACACTGGATCACTGAATTCTGCCCTGCTCTGGTGGTAGGTGAGTGATTGTGTGCCTTAGTTTGAGGAATCATAGTCACAGTTCTGACACTTCAACAGGAGTGATATACAGTACTTACCAGTCTTTGGTTTAATTATAGTCTGCTCAGATTGTGTGACAGGATTACTAGTTGATGCTGAAAAACAAAGGATGGTAACTCTAGTGTGGGAGGAATACTTTAAATTTCTCATCAATTACAGATTACACTCTTTATCAAAGAATCACATTTAGCTACTTATCCTAAAAGTAACGCAAAGCACTTTAATATTTATTTTTACTTTAAATATTTCTCTTTGGGGTCTTCTGATTGGCTCATCTAGTAACTGCTCTCAGTGCAGGTGCAATGACTTTTATGATCATGGGTTCGAGCCTCGGTCATGGTCCTGGTCAACTTTGGCCGGGAACCTCAGAGTACAGCAGGAACAGTCAGCCAGGGCTCTCTCTCCGCAACACCTGGGCACTTTCAATAGCCATGTAGTTAATGAGGGACACAGTTCCCCTCTAATCAGCTCTGAGCCTCCAGTTGTACAGGGCTGTGTAGCCTGTGATGTGTTAAAGATGAATGACTGATGTATGCTAGCACACTGAGACATGAAAAACCCACGAATGTTTATTCCAAATCAGCTGGGTACATGAAAAAATGGCAATTCAAAATGTTAAAAATGTATTTCTATTTTATTATTGAAAGTGTATAAAATGCATCAATACACACTAAAGACTCAGCATATTTTTATTATGCTAATATTTTTATTATACGCTTTGTGATGGTACGGAAGGTTCAGACAAGATGGAAGCCCTTGTCTAGACTACATTTCCCAGGAATCTATGGAGAATGAGCTGTTACCCTTGGTCTCCAGATTATTTACTGGAAGACAACTGGTCAGGTTACTGTTTAAAAAGAAGGAAGCAAAGGCTTACAGCGGTTTTGATCTGCTGTCTAAAGAAACCGACACCAGACTCTCTGTGTGCAGCTTTACCAGAGGGAGTGATGACTGAGGAATTGGAACTGTGGAATAACATTTAGCCATGATGTTGATTCTGATACTCCAGTTGTTTTTAAGAAAAGACTAGATAGCTATGATCCTCATATCAGTTAGTGATTAGCAACCACATTATTTAAATGGGACTAATAGCTTCCTCTTGTCCAGTCCTCTCTTGCTTATTGGTTTTATTCCTTCCACATAAGTTATTTCATTCATACTGAGAAGGGTTCAAGGCAATAGGTCTGGCTGGTCTGCTACAGATGTCCTGTATATAAGAAATGACTTACTATTTTTCTGTAGCTTAGATCTAAAATTTTTGGAAAATAGAGTGAATAATTGTGTGAAAAACATTGCATATCATACATTTGAATTGTGAATAAATAGGTGTTATTACTTAATAAAGATGAAAGTAAGAACATTGATCAACAGCAATGATAATTACTGCAGGTTGTAATCCTATTGGTTGTTTTCAGGGAATGTGTTTAAAAACCTTAAAACAATAAACTGCTTGCATTACAACAACCCTGCACTTTATAGCATTTATGCCTGACTTGGATAATATTAAACGTATGTGTTAGAAATGCTTACTTACATATTTCTGTTGTAGACGGGACTAATGTAGTTCTACTGATTATAGTAGTAGACAAGGTAGGCAATTCGTCTGTTGAATCTGATGTTCCTATAATGTAAAAAACAATTACATTTGATGTGATCTTCTCTTAGTTTAACCAGTAGTATTCTAAAAGTAACAAGGTTCATATAAAACATTAGATTTTGACATGTCTCATCTATAGCACAGTAATTCTAATAGTCAGACAGCTTGTTACATTTTCATTGTAGCTGGCTGTCAATTACTGAGCTACTGCTGATTAACGTTTTTCTTCAGAAATAACAAAATGTTACATTTTATTATTCAGAGTGGTTCTGTAGATCACATAATTCTAAAAACAAAATTGAAAAACAATTAAATTAAAAAAATATATTTTTCATTTTAAACCCCCTCCTTTTAATTCAGATTTGCCAGTTGTCAAGAAACATAGCAATAAACATAGCGTAGGTAATAAATATATTACCTAGAAGGGATAAAGATCCAACATACATTGTAGACACACTTTCTTCTTGTTCACACTGAACCCCACAGTGACTACAGCAAATTGCAGAGAAACATTGGATAACTGAATTCTGCCCTGCTCTGGTGGTAGTTGAGTGATTGTGTGCCTTTGTTTGAGGAATCACAGTCACAGTTCTGACACTTCAACAGGAGTGATATACTTACCATTCTTTGGTTCAACTGTAGTCTGCACAGATGAAAAACAAAGGATGGTAACTCTAGTGTGGGAGGAATACTTTAAATTTCTCATCAATTACAGATTACACTCTTTATCAAAGAATCACATTTAGCTACTTATCCTAAAAGTAACGCAAAGCACTTTAATATTTATTTTTACTTTAAATATTTCTTTTTGGGACCTCTTGATTGGCTCTTCTAGTAACTGCTCTCAGTGCAGTGGTGGTAGTTGAGTGATTGGTTGAGGAATCTCAATTTTGACACTTCAACAGGAGTGATATACTTACCATTCTTTGGTTCAACTGCAGTCTGCTCAGATTGTGATGTGGTAGGAATACTAGCTGACACTGAAAAACAAAGGATGGTAACACTAGTACAGGGAGAAATACTTTGAATTTCTCACCAATTACAGATTACATTCTTTATCAAAGAATTTCACTCAGTTTAGTATCCAAAAAAGTAATGCAAAGCCTTTTAATATTTCTTTTTTACTTTAAATATTTGTTTTTGGGACCTCTTGATTGGGTCGTCTAGTAACTGATCTCAGTGCAGTGGTGGTAGTTGAGTGATTGGTTGAGGAATCTCAGTTTTGACACTTCAACAGGAGTGATATACTTGCCATTCTTTGGTTCAACTGTAGTCTGCACAGATTGTGATGTGACAGGATTACTAGTTGATGCTGAAAAACAAAGGATGGTAAGTCTAGTGTGGGAGGAATACTTTAAATTTCTCATTAATTACAGATTACACCCTTTATCAAAGAATCACATTTAGCTACAGTACGAATCCTAAACGTAACACACTTTCATATTTACTTTTACTTTAAATATTTCTCTTTGGGGTCTCCTGATTGGCTCATCTAGTAACTGCTCTCAGTGCAGGTGCAATGACTTTTACGATCATGGGTTTGAGCCTCGGTCATGGTCCTGGTTAACTTTGGCCGGGATTCTCAGAGTACAGCAGGATCAGTCAGCCAGGGCTAGTTTTACTTTAAATATTTCTCTTTGGGGTCTCCTGATTGGCTCATCTAGTAACTGCTCTCAGTGCAGGTGCAATGACTTTTATGATCATGGGTTCGAGCCTCGGTCATGGTCCTGGTCAACTTTGGCCGGGAACCTCAGAGTACAGCAGGAACAGTCAGCCAGGGCTCTCTCTCCGCAACACCTGGGCACTTTCAATAGCCATGTAGTTAATGAGGGACACAGTTCCCCTCCAATCAGCTCTGAGCCTCCAGTAGTAAAGGGCTACTTTTTGACATTTTCATGTTTTGGTAAACCAAAACTTTTTTCTCTTTAACCTCTCTCTCATACAAATAAAAGAAAACACACAAACTTCCCCAACATTATAATTTTCTATTTTTTGTGTGAACTAAACAGTTCTATACACATATAATATCGGTGTGGCTCTGTTACTGATTTTAAAAAATATTTTCATTTATAATTTCATTTATGTAGCCTGTGATGTGTTAAGGATGAATGACTCAGATGTATGCGAGACAGAGGTATCTGCCTACACGTCCACATTCTCTCCCGTATGTGGTCACAGGGTTCATAGCAGCAAACCAAAACATGAATAACCCACAACTGTTTATTCCAGATCCAGATCAGAAAAACAAATCTGCAGTTAATGTATCATTCTAAACAACACTTCTTTCCACACTTATCCTTTTCTCTGCTCACCACGTCGCCCTCCGGTTTGCCGACCTGCAACCCTGCCACTCCTGAGGGCACTCATTCATTATTATTACACCCTTTGTGTAAAGCACGTTCAGACAAGATGACAGCCCTTATCTACTGTAGACCACATTCCCCAGGAATCCAGAACACAGTTGATCAAGTGACTGCTTTCAGTTTTTCTTAATCATTTAGGCCAGTCAATAATGGGGAGGAATGACGATCCCAGAAGAAGATGGACCAACTGCATCACTGGCAGAAAAGAAAGGCTGCTAAGTACAGCCAGGCGGAAAAAGGAAGTCTTGGATATGGAAGGAACCCACCGGGCTCGGAAGGGCAGCCCTCAGGAGTGGCAGGGTTGCAGGTCGGCAAACCGGAGGGTGACGTGGTGAGCAGAGAAAAGGATAAGTGTGGAAAGAAGTGTTGGCTAGAATCAGAGACAGCTGCGTCAGGCGATGCGGAGAGCAGGCTAGGAACTAAAGTTGGAGCGCCAGGGAATGCTGAGAGCCGGTTTGGAGCCGAAGCTGCTGTACTGGGCAATGCTGGAAGGTGGAAACAATGCAGAGTGGAGGCTGGATGCCGGGGTTGCTGCCAAACAGAATCCACCGGTCTGAAAACTGGGAGTCTCGTGTACGGAAAACACAGAGTTGAGAGCTTCCGATGAAAGGACCTCGTGAAAAAAAAGGACCAAATGGGTTTCAGGGCAGTCTTGAGACTGCAACATATGTGCAGGGTAAAGACTGTCTAGCTCAGCAAAAAAAACATGTGTAGAATGAGACAGAAGTGCAAGTGAAATGGTGCTGTGAAAAAATGACGAAGTGCTGTCAAAACTGCGCCTCAGCTTTATGTACGAAAGCAGGAAGTGAATAATAAGCTTTTGTAATTTATGGCTGTGTTTGTGTGTCAGTTTTCCTGGGTTTGCCAGCTTTAAAGACCCTGCTTTATGGCACTCCAAACCCAGGTGGTCACATCCTGTAAATGTCAGCACGTTAGGAATACAATAGTTGTTTAGAACTATGGTGACACACTACTAACAAATATAAGGTGCAGTATATGAAATGCACTTATGTACAGTATTTATGGATCATCTGTAAGTCATGCCTTCCTACATCTTTAATCAAACCCAGATTGATAGAGCTATTAAATACCTAATGTAACAATGACTAATTTAGGCCTTAGTAGTACAACAGTAGTACAGTAGTACAACATGTGGGGTGTGAATTAGTTATTTATTACACAATCATGTTAATAATTACTAAGGTAACCTTTATAAAAGCTTTCCAGTCCCATTGTTTAAGCTGGAGTTTACTTCAAGTAACAGCTGGATGACACGCCTGAATCGGAACAGCAACTATCAAATGGGTAAGATGGTCAGAATGGCTTCCTCTCATTTGTTACCTTTCTTATTTTTGACTAATTAAAGAAACATTTAAATAACATTCTCTTTTTGAAAACCATTTAAATGCACATTCATACTATAGCAGCAGCCATATCACTCTGCAACTCACAACTGGCAACCCACTGAAGCTAAGCAGGTGTGAGCCTGGTCAGTACCTGGATGGGAGACCTGGGGAAAACTAAGGTCGCTGCTGGAAGATGTTAGTGGGGCCAGCAGGGGACACTCACCCTGCTGTCCATGTGGGTCCTAATGCCCCAGTATAGTGACAGGGACACTGTACTGTAAATAGGCGCTGTCCATCGGAGGAGACATAAAACCAAGGTCCTGACTCTCTGTGGTCATTAAAATTCCCAGGGTGTTTCTCGGTGTACCCCTGGTGTCCTGGCCAAATTTCCCATTGGCCTTTTCCAATCATGGCCTCCTAATAATCCCCACTCTGCTCTCCTCCCCACTGATAGCTGGTGTGTGGTGAATGTTCTGGCGCACTATGGCTGCCGTCGCATCATCCAAGTGGTGGTGGTAGAGGGGACTCCCCATTACCTGTAAAGCGCTTTGAGTGGAGTGTCCAGAAAAGTGCTATATACAGTAAGTATATAGTAATTATTATTATTATAGAATTGCTGTATTGTTCTTGATAGTAATTTAGAAGATGCAGACAAACTGCATAGATGAACAATAATAAACTTCACATACTGTATCTTACAAGTTATTTACCAATTTGATTTTGCATACACCCTGTTTCTCCCTCATCAAAGTTGCGCCCTGTTTCTCCCTCATCAAAGTTCCAGGAATCTGCAAAGTGTGCTCTTGTTCTGCCATATACAGTAAGCAGCCAACTTCTGTGAGTAAGTGGAACTTTTATTTTTGGTTATATTTTTTTTTATTACTAAGTATTTATGTTCCCACTTCTTTCCTAATCCCTCTAGTTCAGTGATTCACACACTAGGTCCACATGTACAGAATCAAGAACCTGTCACGATATTAGTTCCCCCTCCTTAAGGGTGCTCCAGCCCTTTCACTCAAGACTGTATTCTATGCACCTGCTCCCTATTCCCAGCCCACCTTAAAAGCCAGGTGCTGACGCTCATCCGGGCTCTGCATCTGATTTCCATATCGTGCGAGTCCGGGACCTGGAAGCGCCTGGTCCCGTTAAGGTTTTAACCTCTGTTCCCGTTCCCGTTCCTGTTCCCCGTCCACCGGTTCCGACCCGGCCTTCGTGGTTTTTTAATTCTTGCTCTGATGGATCTTCTGGTTTTGGACTTACCCTTGTGTTTTGGATATTCCCAAAGGACTACTCTCTCGGATTGTTCGCCTTGGCCACACCTCCCCCGTGCACCAGCGCACCTTGGACACGCCCCCCTGTCTTCTGCCCCGTATTCCTGCATGACGTTTCCCTAGTGTTTCCCCACTCCGTCGGATTGTGTCGTCCGCATAGGGTCCGGAAAGAACTGTTCGTTACAGGGGCTTTCTGGTTTTTAGCCCAATATCCTAATGAGATTGTTAAATCAATTACTGACTTTATTATTCTTAAACAGTTTCCAGGTCTTCAGACATTGAGACATTTGGGTACCATATAAAACATGGCTGTGACTCTCCAGGGCCAGATCACTGCTTTAGGCCTTTCTTTCAGGGGATGTGTTGTTAGCTATGGTTTGAAAAATGTAAAAACAATACTGTAAGTCTGTTGATTGGATATATCTTATGTAAAAATCACATATTACTGAATAACCTTTTTGTAATTGCAATTACATTTTAGCAACAAAAATATGAAAGTAATATGTATGATAATATCATTATTATTAAAAAATACTATACCTTGAGTAATGGAAAAGTCAAGATTGTCTCAGAAACACAAGTATACCCATTGACTGACACCAAGCACTGAAAACTGCCAAAAATCCTCCTTTTTATATTGTGATAGATTCTCCTCTGGGCTAGTGTGACAGGAAAGACCTACACACATAAGCCCATATTTTAGTTCTTCTTTTATACTGTAGCTTGGGGAAGATCACTCTGATTTTTTTTACTGCCCTCCCTTGTGATCCTAACCCTTGTTTATATTTCACCCTAGTTTGTATACTTTTTCTAAGCCTGTATTTGTTTGGAGTATTGACTGCTGAATAATGTTTGTCTAGAGGTTGGGAATAATAAAGTTAGACTGTTTGTTTTGTTTGACACGGTAAATGTGTATTCAAATTTTCCAATCATAAACTACAGTTCTTCTCCAGTCTGTATCACTGACATTTTATGTTTTGTTGCACCTGTGACGTTAGGTTAACCTTTACCGCAGCTGCTCTTTGCCTGCTCTTATACATAGTAAGAGGAATCAGCTCTTTGCAGGAGTAGATCATTTCCTCAGGATCTGTTTGAATGCTCAGGATCACTCAGCCATTCACTGGAGTGATGATGTGGTATTTCCAGCTCTCTGGACTGACTTCATCACTCAAGCCACTTTGATTTTGTCAAAGTAACTTTTTAGTCTACCTTGGTAATGTATTACACTTGACTTTGTGATAGGCCAGTCTCATGAGACAGCTAGGAAACCAAAAGCTAGAGATCACGATGATTCAACTCCAGGTGCTTTATTTAAATATTTTTCCACATGGAAAAACAATCTGTTCCAACAAATATCCATTAAACCTTCACTTCTCTCTTCTTTAGAACCATCAGTAAACAAGAATGAGTGGACTTGATTGGAAACTAAGGGGATGTGTGTTTAAACTTAGAACAGGAGGCACTTCACACAAAGAGCAGTTCAATCTGGAATAAGATATTCAGCCATGTTGTTGAAACTGTTACTCTAGCCTTTTAAGAAAAGATGATCCGCATATAAGTTAGTGGTTAGCAACCTAATGATTTAAATGGGCTGAACAGCCTCCTCTTACCCAGTTCTCTTTTCCTTTTAGTTATATTCCTTGAATCCTGTCATACAGACTAAGCAAGGTTCTGTCAGGTCTTCTATAAATGTATTTTACAAAATTACTTTTTCTGTGGCTTAGTTCTAAAATTCATGATAAATCCAATGAATAATTGTATGAAGAACCCTGAATACAACGTATTTGAATCACGATTAAATCATTTCTATTTCTAACCCCCCCCAAAAAACAACTAATGTTGATCAATTGCACTGATACAAGTAAAGGTTTATTCCACACTGAAAAGAGAAGAAAAGAAAAGGTGTCACAAACCTGAAGAAGGCTCCACAGCCGAAATGTTGTGTTTTTTATTTTTTCAGCATGGAATTAACCTTTACTTGTTCCTTTGCAGCCTACTCATGCTGATGCAGCTACCCATTTGAACAATTGCAATGATAAGGATCTAATATTCTTGATTGTTGGTATGGTTTTCAGAGTAGTATGTTTAAACACCTTAGTGTGATGGACTGCTTGCATTGCTCCAAGCCTGAGCTTTATAGCATGCATTCCTTATAAATTAGAAAATCTTACCTACCACTTTCTGCTGTAGACGGGACTGATATATTTTCAACACCTTTAGAATTAGTCAAGTTGTACGAAGAATTTGTTGTATGTGATGTTCCTATAATGTAAAAACAATTATTAATTGATGATGATGAATAATTTATTGATGTAATTTGCTCTTAGATTGTCTAACCGGTAGTGTTATAAAGTTGCAGTTAAAATATGAGAATTGACTTGTCTCATCCATAGCATGGTAAATCACACAGTCAGACAGCTTGTTACGTGTTCATTGTAGTTGGTGATCAGTGAGCTACTACTGATTTATCTTTTTCTTTAGGAATAACACAATGCTTCATTGTATAATTCACTGTGATAGATCACATAAATCTGAAAACAAAACTTTAAGACAATACAATTATTATTTCTTTAGACCCCCCTCCTTCTAATTAGGAAGTGCCATCTGTAAATAAACTTAGCTCACCATTGTAGCCTTTATATTATACAGGAGGGATGAAGATTGTGTAATCCAACATGCTCTCATAGAGTCACTTTCTTCTTGTTCACACTGTGCTCCACAGTGCCTACAGCAGTGATGGACTTTCACTTTCACTAACAATGTACAATCATGCACATAAGCACACAGCAAATTGCAGAGAAACATTGGATAACTGAATTCTGCCTGGCTCTGGTGGCAGTTGAGTGATTGTTTGCCTTTGAGGAATCACAGTCACAGTTCTGACACTTCAACAGGAGTGATATACTTACCATTCTTTGATTCAACTGTAGTCTGCACAGATTGTGATGTGACAGGATTACTAGTTGATGCTGAAAAACAAAGGATGGTAACTCTAGTGTGGGGGGAATACTTTAAATTTCTCATCAATTACAGATTACACTCTTTATCAAAAAATCACATTTAGCTACGTATCCTAAAAGTAATGCAAAGCACTTTAATATTTATTTTTACTTTAAATATTTCTCTTTGGGGTCTCCAGATTGGCTTATCTAGTAACTGCTCTCAGTGCAGTGGTGGTAGTTGAGTGATTGGTTGAAAAATCTAATTTTTGACACGTCAACTGGAGTGATATCTAACCATTCTTTGGTTCACTTTCAGTATCCAAAGGTTCTGACTTGACAGCAGTTGACGCTGAAAAACAAAAGAGAATAAAATTAGTGTAGTGGAATACTTTGAATTTCTCCTCAGTTACAAACTACATTCCTTATCACTTAGATGAGTAACCTGAAAGTATGACAAATAAATCTTTAACAGGAAAGCACAGCCCAGGAACATAGTTGTGATGCAAGATCTTAGTCGAGTAGTTATGCAAGACCATAGACGAGAAGATAGCAGGGACGAAGCACAAAGAGCAAAGTCCACTGTAAAACATAGTCAAAATCCAGGAATACAACAAAGCCGAGGATGCCAAGACATGAGAACAGAAACCTAAGACTGAGAGAGGAGATGACACAAAGACTTGTCTCAAAAAAGCCTGCTTCTAATAAGGCAAACATTTATTTCTGTGCGGGTTGTCCTGATCTCATGCCATAGCGTGTAGTTTTGGCAATCTGATTGGCACGTATAGATGAGAGTTAATGGTTGCTTTGCTGATCATAGTGCATTGTCTAGCAGTCCAGTAATAAATAGTACATGACTAACACAGGCCTTATACAGTAAGTGGTACTGTATGTGTAGGATATTGCTTAGTTACTTATTAGAAACAAAAGGTAATAGGTACCTACAGATGCAGCCATTCAAAATGAGCGGGGTACGTTGCGGTAAAACACGGTGGGCATTTCGCATCATAACGTGTCATATCGTGTCATACCGTATAATACCGTATAATACCGCAGTTATGATAATAGTATCCGGAATCGCCGATAGGTGGAACCAAATAAGATTAACGTCTCGTGTACGGCATTTGAACTGTCGCCAGAAAACGCATGGTTTTAAATCTCATTCACTGCTGAAGGACAATCTTTTTCCAATTAAGAATTTAAGTTGTATACTCTTTAGACTTTTAATAATTTGAAACTGTGTTTTACAGCATGTTAATCATTAAACATTAAAAAGTTGGTATATTTTATAAAAGCAAGATTGCTCAGTTGGACAAAAGTACACAATCTACCACCTTTATCATAAATATTTAAATTATGCAAAAATATTTTATGCATCAAAGTCTTTAAGGAAGATATTACTAATAGTATTAATAATGAATGACCTTGGACAGGCTGTAAGCTCAAAGTATTACCGTGGTCCACTTTCTTTGTAACCGTCTTTGTAAACAAAAATCTGTAATTTTTTAATTGACAAAAAATAACACCACGATACACCACCATAAACTATATCAATTTTGGAACATAAACATAATATGTAAACTGTATATGGCTGGTATTGGTAGTTTAAAGAAAAAATACACACCAGTATTCTACTTTCTTCCTAAACATTTTAAGCATCAAAGTCTTGCATGTGGTTATTTTGGAAACATTTTTACGTGTTCTTTCTGACCATATTAAGTTTATATACCTTGTGAAAAGTCATAATGTTTTAACCTTTTCTGCAAATACACTCATTATTGGAGTAAACAAAAGCATACATAATATGGAATCGTGTATCTAAAGAAATTGGTAATGATATTATATTCATGTACTGTAGCTCAAATAGTAGTATAATACATTTACTATGGATATGTGTGCTTCTGTTTCAGTGCCTCTCACATGACTATGTCTGTGACGTAAAGGCTTAAGTGTGTACTTTATAAGCCTGATGTCCACGGGTCATGCCCTTCTGTTGCCATCTGTTTTCTTTTAACAAATAAACATTTCTTTGAAAAACTAAAATTGCAAATATTATGGACACTATATTGACATTTTTTATATTTCTAAAAATATTTATAATTCTAAATATATCTATATTTTGTAAATATATTTACATTTCTAATTATATCTAAGTATATAACCTTTATAAAAGAGTTGTCTAGTATTCATAAGTATGTCATTTACAGATGACTTACAGGTCACTTACAAGTCCCTTACAGGTGACTTCAGAAACAAAGTAGCACCAAAACTCTTATGCAGTTTGTTCTCTTTTGAGACAAGATTCACATTCAAAGTAAAAAGTGAAAAAAACATGAATTTATATTTCTATTAATTTGCAATCTGAAGGTTTAATTATAGCATGGTAAAATCATTTTTCAATATATGGACAGTATATAGTATGAGTTTTAATCACATTTGTTTTAGTTGCATGAAACAAACCCTCCAAAAATGTCTTCATCTCGGTTTTGAAGTTCCTTCCATCCATTTTCTAAACGATTTATCAAATAAAGGGTCAAGGGGGAGCCAGAACCTATCCAAACAATGAGCGCAAAGGCAGGGAACACTCCAGACAGGACACGAGTCCATTGCAGGGCATGTACAGACACAAACATGTACACACTCACACCAGGGATAGCACCCCAGGTCCAGAACTAAACCCAAGGCCCCAGCCCTGTGATGCAGCTATGCTAACCAATGCACTACCATGTTGCACACTGGTGATACATAACATACAAAACCTAGAAATAGTATGTGAATGGTATCGAATATGGATGTAAAGTCTTTGCAGTTTAACCTTAGTATTAGTGTTTCTTTAGTTGACAATATAGCAAAAATCTAAGGAAGAATCTACTTAGCCATAAAAGTAAAGTACCATCATCAAATACATTTATTAAATTATATCATTCAGGAACAGCGAACATATTCAGCAATAACAAAGGATAAATTGAGTGAAACTCAAATCATACAGTAAGTATTTTGTTTTCAAATCTGATTTTTTTTAGGTAGCCTAACCAACCAATGGGATTGTGAAGTGACTGAAAAGCTAATTTGCCAAAACGGACGTTTTTCATGCATTCACTAAGAAAAGGTAAGTCACTAACAAATGGTGAATGGTCAATATTATTTCTAGCCTAGAAGTTGCACTGCCCATCAAAAACTAGGTGTTTCAAGTGAAAACCAAGAAGAAATTCACGATTGCTACACAACTCATATGATAAAGAGTATTCGTACTTGTATAGAGCTGAAGCAGTAGATTAATAAAAAAAAACAGACCTTGGATTAGAACTTCCCAGTGAAAGTTGTTTCATGCCAGAACATCTGACTTGGTCCAGTTAACAGTAGATGAGAAATTCCTCCCAAGCTATTAGTGTTTTAATGACTAATGGCAATGAGGCTGAGGGGTGATGCAGATACAGATATCACATCTGCATGGAGTAAGGGATGAGCACAAAGGAAAAATATTATCTTATTCACTACCTTAAACAGTTAAACAATGGGAGTGGAAATGTCTAATGTTTTGAGATGTTTAAACAGCTGGTTTCTTCTAGATTTTGTTTAAACTTGTCTGGTCAGCACAGGTTTTTGACATGTGTTCCCACAGTTACAGTATTTCTTTTAATTTCTTCCCAATTCCACCACTGGATAAGATGTATTGTTATTGAGAAGTTTAAAAAGAATAAAGAGAGTGTGAAACAGAGTTTCAAAAAGAGCCTGAAAAAGACCACTACTGCAATGATTGAACAGGCAAACATAGCGCTCTTGAAGACACCAAAAAAACCTCGTCATCCAAATTTCTATCAATGAGTTGAAGTATGCGGCAACACCAGTCATTAGAGGTGAAATAAATTAGAAATCTGCAAAAGTGGAACTGAGCCATACTGTATATTCTAGCAGAAACAAATAATCAGGATAAAATTTATCACCAATCCCAGAGACCTGGGACACTCCAGAAATGCAGCAAGACACTTCCAGGAGACCTGTGCTTGCAACAACAGTAGCAAGGAGGTCTACTAACAAACAAGATAATGGATGCACCTTTTAAGATCGGAGACTTGTGCGCTTATATATTAGAAGACTGACATCAACACAACTAGTTGGCCTTGTGGACAAAGATCAAAGAAAAAAAGGATAACAAGCCATAACACTTCAGACTTAGAGTAACTTTACCACAAGGTCAATAGTTGAAGTATTCTCCTGATTATGTGAGGATCCTGAGTGAAACTACATACAGTGAAACTCTCCAGGAGGCAGAGGATATTCCTGACTGACCAACCCAATGCTCCCTAAATGCAATGACATGACATATCCTAAACACAGCTGTCCTATAACATGGCTACCGTAGATGTGTAACCTTAATGGAAAGCATGTAGGGACACCTTTTAGTGGAGTAGCAAATGACCTGCATAACAGAACTGTACAGAAGTCAGTAATAGGGTGTTAGGATCAACTGCTTACCAACTAATTGATCATAAAAGATACTAACATTTTAAAGTAGAATTTGAGCATAGACTTGATAAACCTTCTGTGTCATGGCAGATCTACACATTCCCACGAGCACAGATCCCCACAAACACCAACGCACAACCTAATTCTCCAACCACATCCCTTGTCCCACATCAGCTTTCTGTCTCTCTTTCTCTCTGAAACCTGGTGCTTCCTAGAAAACACAAACAGCGCTGTGATATTCTGGGTGATTTAATTTAGCCAAAGCAAAAACCTATGAACACCAAAATGGTTCTTCTACATAGATAGCCAATAGCCTTTCCTCTACCTGTTTTCAGCTAGAAATCAGGAAAACCGACCGTCAATATGCTTTTCAAAAACTAGTTGTAACAGACAAAACTATAAAACAGATAAGATGCATATCTTTAGTAATTTTCTTAAATACACGTAGCAAGTAATTGTACTTTATCCCAGTTATTTTGTAATTATATTCATTACATTTCTCTGAATTCTGGATTTAGGTGGCTGTGTAATTATTCTCTGTAAGCAAAAAAATAATATGGTTCTCTTTCACTCTTTCACTGGTAATGGGATCATTATCCTGACAAAAACATTAATTTCTGTTGAATAAAGGCCCATACTGATAAAATTAACAAAAGACACCTTTTAAAATATCATTGGAGCATCCACATAAATACAAAATGCCCTTTCAGCAACAGATTTCAGAAAATCATTAATAACAGTTTCCAACCTTAAGGATATGATGAATCACACATTCTAGTTTCCCTTTCTAAATAGATTTAACTCTTTAGTACACAGTTCTTATTGCAATGTAGACCAACCACTATAGTCGAACGGTATGATAATGTTTACTGGTACTCTATGTTA